CCCGAAACCGCGGAAACACAGATCCTAACTGCCTCCATGGTTTCACCCGCAAATTCACACGCTCCCAGACTATTACTCCGTCTCTTTCGGGAAAAAAGAGAATAGCGTAAAGATAGATAAAGAAAGGGATAGGAATATAAGGGCGAAGATTTAGATAGACAACAGATAGGTAGATATTGAGGTAGGTGTCTATAAGACATAGACGTAGGTGTTTATATTTGCCTACTTATCTATGCATCTATCTCTCTACATATATGTGCATAAATATACAAATACATATACACATACATAAATAAATAAAAGTTGATATGTATATATACACATATTTATTTATTTGTGTTTAGTTCATCTTTTGCTGCAACAATTTTCTGACTCCGGCTGACAAATCAGCTATCATGGGTCGGTCAACCCATGATTTTTGTTCTGCAACCTTTACGAAAAGGTCCTAAAAAACCACGCATGTGGCGGAATGTTTTTCCTGCACGCGCTGAAATTCGCGCATGCCGCCCGCAGCGTTCTGGGCACAATGAAGCATGCAGCTGAAACCATCAGTAAGAACCATGGATTTCACTTTTTCCCCAGAACCCAGTGTGCCAAGAAATGGCCAAAATCGGGTACCAATCCAGTTTGCTCTTTGATTTTCACCGTGCGGTTCCTCCATGCATGCCATGACCCTTTGATGATCCATGCTGAAGGCAAAACTGATCGGGACCAGTGACCCATGGAATTTGATGAAAGGAAAAATGGAATCAGATGTGTTGTTTTTCATATCTGTTCACAGGTGGGTATGGATATAAAATGATGTATGTGCCTGTCATCTGGCCCCTGACATCGGTGCTTGGTCACGTCGCGTGAAACTGCAGGCGGTCGAACTGGTCCTGGCTTCTACTATCATTTGCAGTATGGTGCCTTGGGCCTGTTCGATGAAAAGGTGTTACAAGGATGTCTGTCATCCGCAAAGAATCACCACATGGTGTCACACCTATATGTCCCCAAGCCATTTTCCTGAATGGGACGTACCATACTGTGCTGGTAGATGTTTTCTTTGGTTGAAGATATCCCTATACATTACCTTGGGACACGGTTGAAATTCCTCGCTTGCCAGGCTCAATTCCCACACATCAGAGGTGCCTCCCACCCGCCTGAGCGGATCCGTGGCAGTGTGGGTCTGGGTCGATGGTGCACATATGTGTAATTTAAAGCTTCATCAAAGCATCTTTAAATGTCTTAATGCAGGCATTTAAGGGCTTCAGTTCGGCTGCATTCAGCCACCAGCAGTCGATTTTCACGATGTCTGATGGAAGCGATGATGAAGGAACTGAGCCCACGGATGTGCGAATGTTCATCCAAGCTTTTCATGACGAACCGCGCATGAAATCGGTTCCTGACAATTCGTTTCAACGGAATCCTTTTTTTTGGAGGGTTGGTGTGTGGCAACCGGTAACCCACCAAACTTAGCGCATTGACCTGCCAACCCTTGCGCTCCCAGGTTGGCATGACGGTGCTCATTGACCAAAGTGGTCACTTGTTCGGCAAAAAGAAGTGCAGCATCAAAGATCTCATTGTCAACAAAGAGGCTGGGCTCGCAAACATTCTTATGGAATCTTATGGGCCCCATATGTGTTAAAGTGAGGTAGCGTTGCCTCTGCATAAATTCGGTTTTCGCTTTGACGGATATATCGATCTACAATATATGTTTTTTTTACGGCGATCGATCTAAAGGTCCTCGTAAAGAGTTTTAATTGCGAAGACCGTTCATGTTATTGGGAGCCCTCGCGAAAGTTTTTTTCGAGTTCGCGAAAGTAACATTTTTTTCGCGAGAGTTTCGCGAAAGTTGGGTATTATAATCATTATGTCGTTACGTAAAGGGCTGCCACCCACTGCCGCCTGGGGTCCGGCAGGAGAAGGGCACCGGAGAATTTCGGTTTGGTTCTGGTTTAATTTCTTGTGTGGATTTGTGTGGTGATGCTTTTGGACAATCGATCATAAGTAGCTGCCGAGCTTCCAAAGGTGAGGCTTTGGGACAGCCAAACACCATGGTCCTGAAGCACATCCTTGCACCTGCCGCTGTCACTGCCTAATGATGATTTTTGAAGTCTCAAGAAACAAGCTCCAAATGCAGCAGCCAAGTTTCGTCCAAGAGTGAGGCTTTGCGAGAGCCAAACACCAAGGCTCCTGGTGTTCGCTTTTCCTTCGATGCGCCCCCTGCTGATGGCCGGGGTCTGTGACTAGGGATTTGTTCGCGAAATTTCCGCGAAAGTTCTGCGAAGGAGCGGGCGAAAGTCAAAGTGCATGTTGAAGGGGGTGGGTCAGTAAACCTTGCAAAAAAAAACTAGTCAGCAACAATCTGTCCTGAGAAGGGGTTCCATGATCCTAGTTGCATGTTGAAAAAGGCTATGAAGAAGTGATCCGTGATTCTCTGGCATAACTTGGCAGGTGGTGAACGAATCTTCATAAGAGGTATTGTTGCCCAACATGGGCCCCACGAAAGATAAACATGGAGTTCGCGAAAGCTTCGCGAAAGTAGCATTTTTATTCGCGAAGAATTGCCGTTTGCGGAAACAGGAATTTTGATCAACCATCATATATACTTACATTTCGCGTATGTACATATAAATATATATAGAGAGAGACATAACAAAACATTGATTTTTATTTGCAATGGTTCAGAGATCCACCTTTGGAGGTGCTCCTAGCGGTGGTAAAGGCATTGGGAGACCGTCCAAGAGTATCCGCTTATACTCTGCAAGATGCATTGCTGGGCTTTTATACAGAAGCAAAGCTATACCCCTCGGGTGTGTTTTCGGAGATTCCTGCTGTCCAAGATTGGGCATTGAAACAAGCTATTGGCATCAAGAAGTTGGTTACTTGTCCAAACTTAATCGATGTGAAATCCACATTTATTGCAACAACTTTGATGGCTGAAGAAGAGTTTCCCCGCCAGATTTATCTTTGCCTTAAATGCTCCAACTCCCAGGTTTCGAGATTGCGTCGGTTGATGAAGCGCTCAAGCACTTCAAAGCACAGAAAGCTTACAGAGGTCAAAGCCATTGCCCGGCGCAGTGGTTGGTGTAAGGTCACGAAAGCGAAGACGGCAAGTTCTGATGATGATGATGATTCATGGTGTAAAATTCAATTTTGGGACCATTCATCGTGACCAAATCTTTTGGTGGATGGAAAACGTAATCTGGACCCCGTACTTCAAGTTTCTGTGACGAACCAACTCCACAGTGGACATATTCCCTTAATTTTGTTTACTAGCATTTTCCAAACCTGCACCGGTGCCCAGGAGAGCGATGAGCGGGCGAGTCTGGGTGATCCGGACGATCTCGAGGAGCTGGCATCTTCGTCCACAACGACACCTGGCTCGTCGGAAGTGTCTTTGGCATCGGGATCAACGGGTTTGGCTGGTTCCAAATTGGAACGTGTCATCCAGCAGCTAAAGGATATCAAACTTCGCTGGGAAACCCCGGCGCCAGTGATGGCACCACCTGATCAAACTCCAGGAAAAATGACAGCCATGAATTGTGTGACTGTGGACTCCTCTGATGAGGAGGGCCTTGTAAGTCATGAACATGGGGATCCACCAGCACCAGCGTCGTCAGTTGACTCCAAGAACTCAACCCTTTCTCCATCCCAGCGTGTTGCCCAGTTTTTGTTGGCGAAGAAAAATGCCAGGCTAGTTGCTGCAAAAGCGGCAGTGGGTAATCCCGAGAAAACACCAGACCCCGGCAGTGATACAAACCCGTATGTGCTGCCCGATCACGTCTCAAGGTTGTGCATAGTGCATCTTTTAATTTTCCTGATTTCCGAATTGTGTATATACCTTGTTTCCCTAGCTATAGTTCATGCCCATCACAAATGGCGACATAAAACTGAGGTTTTGCAAACCATGGGGAAGATTTCATCTCCCCCTACGGCTTTTTCTTTGAAGTCACAATATGTCCAAGAGGTTTCAAAGGCTAGGGCTGCCAGTGGTGTCGAGCCTTCGGAGGATGAGGAAGTTCAGGCAGCAGCAGCGCCTGGCAGTGTGGGTGTCCCTCGATCCGCAAAGAGGAAGCGCAAGGACACCAAACAGGACGTGAAGGAAAAGGACACAGTGAAGGGTGATGACACAAACTCATGGAATTATAACGCGGTCCGTAGTGCTTACATAAAAGAGATAAGGGAACGTGATGGACTTTCATTTGCCGAAGCAAAGACTTCATGGGACAATTCTGACCAGAAATGTGAATATTTGGGGTCCGTTTCTGTTTCAGAATTGAAGCGTCGCAAGTTTATTGCGAAAGGTGTTTCGGAGAATCCATGGGCGAAAGGCAAGTTCAGCAAATAGCTGAGCTATCCATGGATGTCGCATCTCAAGAGCACGGGCTAGGGGTCAGCCGGTGATCATTGGCATCAAAAAATGTCAAAAGTGTCTTGCTTTGTTTTTGTGGGTGTGAATGCGGGCCTTTCTCACAGCTTAGGGTCTAGTCTGACGGCTGCTTCTCAAGTGGATCCAAAACTGCCGTGTGGAAACTATTTGCCTGAGTCTCAAAAGTGGGGAATAGCTTCCCAGCTCTTGCCACGATGGTAGTCCTAGAACTTCTTCGATGGCGTGCGCCGCCTATCTTCATCTTGATTGCCTGCATGATTCAATGGAATCAGCAGCTTCCACACACGGTTGATGCTTTGTTGCAGATCTGGATTCTGGTAATGGGATATGGTGGAAGTTGAGATCTTGAGTTCTTCATTTGTCTTTCGAGTTGGAAGTGCCCAGGCTTTCAAATGTTTCTTCGTGTCGGTCATTCATATGTCATGTGCATTTACGCTTTGCACATTGGTTCGTCACAGGTGCGTCTCGATTGAATGCATGGATGATACATGAAAATGCTGAGTAGAGTGCCTTTAAAGGGATGTATGTTTGTATGTCATTGTATGTAATGCATGCATATATGTGAATGCGTGCATGCGTGCATGTATGTATGTCTGTCTGCCTGTCTGTCTGTGTCTGTATGCATAGTTTATGTATGTGTGCGTGTATGTGTGCATGCATGTGTGCACATATGTATATATGTATGTATGAGTCTATGCGTGTACATATGCATGTATGTGTTTCTATGTTGTTTTGAGTTTTGCGCGCGTACTACAAATATAGGGTAACAGGTTCTTTTACTTGCCTCTGATACAAGCACCATTTTCCTGATTCCTAGGACCGAGACTTTTGTGAAATCTTTTCGGGACAAGGAGAAGTTAGTCGAGCCTTCAGATCTGTGCTTCGTCTTTCATAGTTTTGTGCAATCCATGCGTTTGCTGAAGGAAGGTGTGAATATTGAATTCTTATGGGATGCCACCGACATGAAATTTGAATCATCGAGCCAATAGTGACAAGGAATTTCCCGGTTCCTCATCAATTCCCAGTCCTCGCCTGGTGACAAAAGAGCATCCCAGGCTAACATGCTTGGCGCCTCAATCGACGTGCTGCTGGATGGCCGCTGCTTTGATCTCACTAAACCGGCAGGGTTCTTGTTTCTGGTCTGCAAAATTCAGGCAGATATGCGCGTCTAGACTCGTTTGTTGTGTGTGCACATGCTTATGCACAAATATTTGTTTGCTTTACGCAACCCTCTTATATTTACTGTTTTTGGGTTCATACATGTTTGTTTAAGTTTACGCCCCGTGAGCATGGGTTCTCTATCTATCTATAAATAAATTTTTAAAAAAATATATATATATAAAAAGATAGAATGATAGATAGATAAATAGATAGATATTTAGGTAGAGATATATATATATATATATATGAAGCAGTTGGTGTCCTTGTGCCGGTATCATAATAGCTAAAGCGGTTGTCATTTTTAAGTAGCTTTTTGAATATATCAACTCACAGTGGTGTCATTTGGCAGCCGCACCAGTATATGTACCTTTTTCCTATATGAATTTCGTTGCATCTCTATGTATGATGGGAATTTCAGGGCTTCTGTCTGGTGGAACTCAATCTTTTGATGGGTACATCCAGGGTCTCCAATTTTGAATAAGTCTTTCACCCGCAAGCGCACCATTCAGGCTGACTTGCAACGAGATTATGCGCTGCAAACCGGGTTCTCCCGTCGTTGTAGCGCCAGACTGTCGCTCACTGTCCCTGATGTTTCTTGGTGCTTCAACCATCTATGATAATCACCTGGTTCCCGTAAACCACGGAGATGTGTCCGTAAACCACGATTATTTCAGATGTGGGTGTGGTACAACTCATCCAGCCACCAAGAGTAAGGAGTGGGAGTGCTGGACATCCAACCCCCGCGGCTTCTGAGGTCTCGCCACACCAGTGGAAGGACTGCCCTGCAGCCGTACGGCAATGTGGGGTACGATTTCGTGAAGGTTGGAAATATCCTTTCCTCGCGTGCAGTTTTATTCTGCTTACTGGCTTCCATGTGTGGCTGCAGATGGTTATTGGAACAACCACGTCAAAGCTTCTTGCCAGATCTTCCGCGCTACCAATGGTTCTGGGGGTGCGTCAAGGCCAGGATGTTGGGTTCGTACTATACCCCCGATGTAATATATTTAGGGTGTGGGGGATAAGTCAAAGCCTGGTTGGGCCTACCACCATAAACGCCTTTCCTGGCGTCTTGTTTGGTATGTTAAATTTATGTTTTCTGATAAATGCAATGGGGACAAGTAACAGCATGAAAATTCTGGATGGCCCTGTTTAGGCATTTTCGGGATCTATGTATATGGGACTATTTGGTGGTGGCAGCCCTAAGATGCACAAGTTGTTTTCGAACGATGGTGGCTGGCTTGAAGCCATTTGCAGCAAAGCCAACTATATGAGCAGGGCAGACCAAGCCAAATGCGAAGTCAAAACCACAAGGCAATATCAAGACGGCAATGGGCAGAAGCGTTGCGTTGGGGCGAAAAAGGCTTTGAAAGAGTCTGCGTACCCCAGCTTAATTAATTTCTGATGTTTCCTACGTCGCTTTCTTATTACTCAATGTTTGCTTGTCAACTGTGTGCATCAAAGCTTGTACCGGTAGTATCTCAGGTACTATCCTCCAGCCTTTGGAGACTATGTGATGCAAACTGCCCGAAACCGGAAATCCGTGCCATGCTAGAATTCATGGCAATGCCGCATGCCTTTTCCATAAATGCATATGTATAAAAATACAACTTTTCGATATATACATATATATATATAATTTTATATATATATATACAAACATGCATACACACACACCATACATACATACATACATATATATATATAATTATATATATATATATATTTATATATATATATATTAAATGTGGTTCTACATATACAGATATAGACATTTGTCCGGACCGCATCTCAGGACCCACTCCCAGGGCCGCTACCTTCTGACCCAGAGTTTCCGACGGATCTCACGGACCTGGAATTGTTCAGAAAGTTCTGCTTACCGTTAGGCGATCTTTGGGATGAAGCTGCTTGGTTTCGAGCACTGGGGAAATCATCGTGTCTTTCCATGTGCAGGTTTTTAACACGATTGTGGGTGTAGCTTCTTGCAATTCTAATGTGAAAACAGAATGAATGTGATCCCGTCCCTTTCATGAGGCTGATTTGTGGTCTGTGGCAGTCTACTTGGCCCGTTCAAAGTACATGGTCATACCTGAAGGATGGGAAACTTGTCATTACTTTTCACGGTTTTGTTTTCCTCCAAGTTTGTAGATAGCTGCCTTCTAAAGCTCCATCTTGTTCCAACCCCATATTTTGCTTCTTCTTGTGAAACCATGCAAATCCTGCCGAGGAAGATGTATTGAAAGAAGTGAAGCTCCGCTAGATCCACTTTTCACCTGACCCATGCGATGCGCATGGCGCTTTCATACCTTTACTAGTTTCATATGGGGTGTCGAACCTGAACTCATGGGCTTGATTGAGACAAACTTGCGAAAATGGGTGCCCGTTAATTTCGCACATGTTCTGTTTTCTTCGGAATTTGTATCGTTTTGTACTGATCGCCAAGCGACCAAAAAAATGATAGCGTGAAAATCCGTGCGATTGGCCGTGCGAAAACGCCGAATGACCGTGAAAACCGCGTGAAAAACGTGAAAATGAAAAATGACCAAAACTGCCCGAAAAAATCACGAAAATCAAGGAAAAACAAAAAAAACGCGAAATCAAAGCCGCGAAAACCACCAGGAGCGCGAAAATCACGAAAAACGCGAAAAACACGAAAATCGCAAAAACCCGAAAAACACGAAAAAAACACGAAAAACGCGCAAATGGCCACGAAAAGCGCGCCAACGGCCCCAAAAAAGCACGAAAAACGCGAATTTTCAAAAATGCATACCAGAAGCCGCAGAAAAACGCGCGCGAAAATGTCCGAGGTTGCCCGGGAAAAACATATTCGCACGAAAATATGCGGGACAAATTCACGCATTAAAGGACATTTTGCTGCTTCGTGTCCCTTGCTTGGTCCTTTCTGTTGATATGTGGTAGCTTTTTTCCTTCTGTTGGAGACACTGAAACCTTTTCGCTAGACAGCTCATGGCGAAGACCAAGCTGACTCAAGTCAAGAAGAAGCTGGAGCTAGCAGCCAAGGCAAAGGCCGTTGCTAAGCCAGCTTTAAAAGAGCCGGTGGTGCCTCCACCGGTTAGGGTGACCGGCAAATCGGCTGATCCCACCTCAAGCGCAAGGGATAGTGAAAAGAAACCTTCCATGTCTAGGAAGGCACCTTCTCAGCAGCCAGCTGCACCTGAGACCCTTGAGACCCCTGAGAACCCTGAGACGCTTGAGACCCGCAAGGCAATGGAATTGCCACCTTTTGACATTACTTGGGACAACTTGCACAAGGTGATGGAGTGGTTCGACATGAAGGAGCACGATGCTGTTTCGGTTTTGCTCCAGGTTGTTGGACCTGATCCTCGAGGTGCACAATTCTGGGACACCTACAAGCAGCGTGTGAAGAAAGAGACGAATGATGTTGCTTTGGCCCCAAAGGATGAAGCAGCCGCCGAATCCGAGCCGAAGCGTCGTCGCTTGAGGCCAGTCCCTGAGCCTGACAATCAGCTGGGTGACCCCGATCTTTACCCGGATGTTGAGAGTGGAAATCCGGCCGTGGTGCCTGATCAGGAGATGGAGATTGATGACACGCAGCTTGATGGCGAGCCATGGGAGGAAGGAGAGGAGGAGGATGAGCGAGAAGAAGACGAAGAAGTCGAGGTTGCAGCAACAAGCCATGGTGGAGATGATCAGGACTCACCCAGTGGAGGTGCCACTACTGTGGCTGGTGATCATGACGAGACCCAGCAGGTTTGCAGCCCCATGCCGCTGGAGCCGGTCGAGCCAGTGATGGTTCCAGCTGTGGAGAACAAAGACGCCCAGGATGCCAAGGAGGCTTTGGAAGCAGCACTTCGAAGCTCTCCAACGCCATCGCGTCGTCGAGTCATTGCCCAGGATGTCCAACGGATTGATGGTCCTGGTGATTCTACATCCCCTGCAGCACCAGGCTCCAACCTGAGGTCCTTGAAGTTCCCTGGTAAGGAGGGATGTTTCCATCATCGTTTTTGAACACTTTTTGTTGTTGATGTGGTTCTCTGAACTTTTCCATCGCCTTTTGTTGGTGAATGAAATTTGTGCATCCAAGGTCGTGCTCGACATTGGTGCTTGGCCAGCAGCGACTCTCGAAGCAGGCATCCCGCATCGACAAGGGCCCTGCTGACCCAAATGATGCTGACTTGTATGATGAGTTTCCCGCCAGTTATAGCAATGCTTCGGAATTCAAAGCCAATCTTTTTACCATTTTTTACCAGTGCCATATTTTTGGCTGATTGAGTCTGCTATCTCCATGTGTGAGGTTGGGGCCCTCTGCTTCACAGCTGGTGGAAGAAGGAGTCCTGGTGGACCTTGTGAAATCGCTGAGCCATCTTCAGGCTGCGATGGATGATCCGAAGACCCGACAAGTCTTGGAATCTCTGGCCCCCCGCTTGTTCCCTTCCTCGGAGAAGGATGCTGCGCACCGTGGGTATCCATCTTCTTCCAAGCCAGCGGGAGCTCCCGTGTCAGAGCCCGCTCCGAAGTCGGCAGCCGCACTTGCTTTACCAAAGTCAGCTTCGAACCTGGGAGCTGCAGCGGGGCCTTCTCCAGCTGCAGGGGCCAAGCCTGCAGAAGCTGAGAGTGTTGGACCAGATCAGCGTGTTCAAGCTGTGGTGGACAAGCTCAAGGCTGGCAAGCCGGTGCCAGCAAAGGGGTTCCAGCAGGATCCTCCGGATGAAGTTGAATTCACCAGCGCCTCCCATCGCGCGAGTTACGCGCGTTTGGCCAGGAGGATGGAGAAATTGGACGTTTCGTCGTTTCCCCAGATGCATCGTCTTTGGGCAGGCAGCAGGAAGGACCAGTGTTATGTTGGTTTTGTTATTTTCAAGAAAATAAGCATCCATCTTAACAACTGCTCTACAATTCCCACACATGGAATCTGTGGGTGTGCCAGTATGAGGACAAGCAGGAGCTCTTGAAGCAATTTGTCCTCACAGGCGAAAACTTGGAGAAGATCGAGACCGTCTTGACGGTGAGCAAGGAACAGGATGCCTCGGTGGAAACGAAGAAGGAACTGCTGACAATCGCAGAAATGAAAACTCGCGGTTTCAGCGAGTATCTAGCTGCAATTATTGCAGACGTTTTTCTCTTTGGCTTTAACCCCAAGAAAACACGTTTTCTGAGATTTTCTTGTGGCTGCACCCATTCATCTTGAGGTGCAAAATCCAAGCCATCATTTCTCGCAACACACCAGTCCCCGACCCTGACGCACCTGAGTGTGCACAGAGTGTTCGCTTTTGGTGCACCAGTGGAGGGCAAGCTACAGAGCGCGAGCGTACACGAGTCTCAGCCCAAGCTAGAGCCAATGTGGCCACCACGGCCGAAGGTTTGACTTCCCTTCTGGGCACCACCGATGTTGGCCCGATGCTTGGCGCCGGAGCAGAGGGTGGTACGGTTGGCAACCGTCCCACGCTGAAGGCGTTGGTGGATGTGGCTAACTCCCAGGAGGCGAGTCACCAGCAGCTTCCCAAAGCCAAGTCGAAGGCCAAGGCAAAGGCAAAGGCTTCAGTGAACTTGCAAGTTCCAAAGACGCCTGCTGAGCAGCGCCAGCAGATCCGCAACTTTTTTCTGCTTAATGCGTTTTTGGCCTCAATCTGTACATGTCTAAACTTAGTCCCTGATCTTTTTCCTCTGAGTTTTGTTTTATTCCTGCATTTCACACCTGGTTGTTTTGAGGCAACCAGCTCAAGGGTGAACTGTCGAAGTGCTCTGTGGGAACGGATCTCCCACAAGGGCATGCACTGCGAAAGCAGCTCGATTCCGCGAAGGCGAAATTGGAAGATCTTTTGGAAGAGTTTCTTGTCCACTTGGTGCGCCCTTTCTCTTTAACAATCTTTGATCCTGGCTCCATTTTAGGGAATGCCTCAATTATATAATTAGGGCGCTGTGACTTTGAGCCCTTCAGGTTGAAGCAATCCGCCGATGACGACTTGACAGCCTTTTCCGGAACCTGTGCTGATGAGGCAATTATCTTTGTTTGGAGGATAGCCCAGTCCTGGTCGCGAGATTTTGTTTTTGTGAAAACATTTAGACCTGCCTATCTCTCTCTGAAGAGGCAATATATAATTCATAGACACACACACATATATATATATATACGCTTATTCTTATGTACAGGGTCAGGGTGGTAACTTGTGCCGCGGTTGTCTTCTTGTGGCGCAAGCGGTGTGCCGCTGGGAAGTCCATGGTATACATGTCACTCTTACTGGATGAACCAAGTGTTTGTGGCATTGATTTTTCTAACACTTTGCAGGGGCACACATGTTTTTGAAACATATTCTTTTCGAGATAGAACTCATGGGGATGGCTTCTCAATAGCTTGACTCACGCAGAAGAGAGAACAGTAGAAGAGAAGAGTAAAGTAGAAGAGACTATATACAGAGGAGTAGAGAAGAGAATCGAATTGAAGAGAAGAAGTGATTAGAGAGGCGTAGAGCAGAGAAGGGAAGAGTAGAAAGGATCCCTGCTGCCGTGCCCTGCTGGCTTGCCTTGCAAAATCCCGATCTCGTACAGATCTCGTAAAGAGATCGTAAGGATCTCGTAAAAATCACGCTGTCAAGCGGTACCTTGAATATCTCAGTGCCATTGTGCTGTGTTGTTCAGTGCTGGAATGTTCCTGGTGTGCCACTGGCTGGGAAAAGCGTTTTGTGAGTATATTTTTCCCAGGGTAGGAATGAGAGTCCGCCAATGAGAATGACATGTAATGTACAACTCCTGGTCTTCTAGGGGTCAAGTTGATGGTATGCCATGCGGTTTACCACGCTTTGTGTCAGGTTTAAGACAGATAAGAAAAACTGCACAAAGCGTTGCAGTCCGCATAATAATTTCGTGGAATTTCATGAAAACAATGTGCACATATATGGATAGGTGTCAGTGTGCCGTGGTGATTTGGCCATGGCACAAGTTCTTTAGGTGGTGGGGTAAGCTGTGTGCCATGTGGTGGGGTAAGATTGTAGGTTGTGGCGTAAGTTACCACCCGCACTCGCACAGATACCAATATATGTGACTTAATATTTTTGTGTATAAATATAACACACATAATGTGTGTGTGTATATATATATTCCCCCTTCACATGTGGGGCTACCCATGTCAAACTTTTTCCCTGGCCAGGTGAAAGCCATTCGGCTTCTACGCGCCCAGGCATCGGCCATCGTCAAAGAGCTTCGAAAGGATGAGGACGCCTCCGGCAAATGATCTGACATGTGTTGGGATCAAACGGCTTCATGATCATGACCCAGTCACGCCCTGGGTCTAGTTTTGGACGGCAGCGGCAGTGGTGCTGCATAGAGGGTTCCCACACCTTCGAATTGCAGTTTATATGATTTAGGTGGAAAAGAATAGTTTCGTAAAACTTAAACCTGGAGTCTTGTGTTGTGGGGTCCTGGCAGCCGCTGTGCTTAGTGAACCTTGCTGTGGGGACTTTAGTTTCCCTATAGCTTGGCCGCGCTGTGGCGAACCAAGCGGAATGTGCACCGGGAATGGATCGAAAATAACCTATCCATTGCAGCCTTTGATCTTTAATGGTTTCAGTTTCATGGTCCAACCGACCAACATGGAAGAACTGTGGACAGGACCGCTAACTGAAATGGAACCCTACCACTGCACAATCCCACGCAGGTGCTTTCAAGAGGAAAGCTCACCACCTTCTTCGTGAACGACTTGATGAAGTGTTTCTAAGCACTAACTGGTTACACCAATGATTTTCCCTGGGAAATCAGCTATGTCTGCCAAACGAGGCTTGCTCATTCGATTGGCGCTGGCTATTGCAGTGTGAAGCACTCGCGGTTTGTGGGTGAAGTCTATGACTCGGACCTGATTACGCCCCTCTGTTTGCGTCCCAATTTGATATTTTTTCTAGTGTTCTATAGCATGTTTACTAGTTCCTGCGGCATTCTGCGCCGGCCAACCCACCAACATACCACGAGGTCAGGGCGAGAGCGTGGTCTTCATGAGAGGGCCGCGCGCGCGGGGGCGTCTCTCCCAGTGCCCATCCACTGGATCAATGTCCCCATGAAAATCAACCCGGAGTCGGACTCTTTCCATTTTGTGAAATGGCCTATGCTACTTCCTCAAGATTTTGTGTTTTGGCTCAAAGGAAATTTTTCTTACAAACGGGATCGACCAAAAACCAAACAGAGTGCAACCAATTGTGGGCCAATGTTTTCCCAGGCTGCTACTTTGGTCAAGGAAGGTTACCTGGCGGCTTTGGTTGGTGACCTTGGTGAATTACCTGGTTACTGGCGCGGAATGCCCCAAGATTACCCTGACCATATAGTGCGAGAGTCTGACCCCAACTTACGGGCAAGCATTGGCTGCACACTCTATGGAGCCCTGCAATTTTTTCAAGGGTATTGTATGATGACTTTTTTGATTCCCCGACATAGGAAGCCAAATTTAATGGGTGCTGTCTGTTTGCTATGTTTTCTGCTCACAACAAGAAAAGGAGACGAAGTAGATTGCCTTGGGGACAGCTGGATGTTCCTTCTTTGGAGTTCAGATACGTCTAAATGCCAGACACATTCTCCCAGCTCTCGGTGGCCTATATGCATACTGCCAGCATCACTTTATGTCTATTCGGAGTCAGGGGTGAACTTGACACTGGAGGCGGCTACCCAGGCCATCACCCGATCCTTCAATGCCTTGTCGACTGAAGGCATTGCAATTCAAGAGCTGCAGTCCCTGGGAGGTGAGATTGTGCCTTTGATTGGTGGTGTGATCAATTTTGGTGGTGGTTTTCCAAAACTCCCCATGTTGGTTTTCCAAGAGTTTGATCATGGAACCAAAAAAGCATTTCTAAGGTTGGACGCATACGACTGTATTGCATGGGATTTCGTGGTGACTGGAAAGCTCTTGCTGCCCTATTCAACATGGTCAGAAATTACAACAGGAATAAGGCCCAAAGTTGGTGTTATGTTTAAAATATGTCAAAAAAACAACGCCCTGATGCTAGATTTTTTTGTATCAAAAAAACCCTGCAGATCTGCTGGCTTTGCGAAGCGAGCAAAGGCATGGAAGATGACCTTCATATGTGCATGACGCACGTCGCTGATGATGCCTTGTGGTGGCAAACAATGCTACAGTCAGAGCCGTGGAACACTAGCCCGCCTTTCTCCAGACTCATCAATTTCAGGCTTTCCATGATTGTTCCAGATCTTCTGCGTTGCTGGAATCTAGGTGTATCAAGGCACATGCTGGCCAGCTGCTTGAAAATCCTATTATCTGACCAGATCGTCTTCCCAGCTCCCACGCTGCCTGGACGATTGAAGATGGCGTCTGAGAGCTTGCTGGCCTTTGCCAGGCGGCACCGCTATCCCCTGAGGATGAAAAAAATCACGAAGAATAAGCTGAAATGGAAAGCTAGGCGCTACCCCGAATTAGCTTCTAGTGGGTACGATGCCTTCGTTGTTGGAACATGGTTAGAACAAACCCTGACTCCTCACAATCATCATTACCCAGAAATTGCGACATTGCTTTGGAGCAGCAACAAGGGCATCAGCCTGTTGTATTCGGCGGGGGCTTTTTTGACCACGGGAGAGAAACAATCTGTGAAAGTATATGGTGACATTTTTCTGCAAACTTATGTGACCTTAGCTGGGCGAGCTCTGAATGAGCACAAACTTCTTTTCAGAGTCATCCCAAAGTTGCACTTGATGTCCCACATTTTCAATTGGAAGCGGTCTGTGAACCCTTCCCGCTACAGCACTTGGATGGACGAAGACTATTTAAAGAAAATTGGGAAAACTCTGGGTTTGACTCAGCAGAAGACTGCGCAACAGAGACTGCTACAACGGTGGCTTCTTTCGATCCCCAATCATCTTAAAAGGAATTTGGGGTGATTTATTTTCGGATTGGGTGCGCCATATGGTGCATGCAGCGAACTGTGGGGATGTCGCTGCGAAAAAGATCTTGGGATCCCTGCATATGTTTCAGCTGTGCGCATGCCGATCATGTGGCAAAACGAAATCTGATTGACAATTGAAACTGTTTTTTTCTACGTCTACCGCTGACCTCGAGATTAGTTGCTGTGTTGGTACTTAAACAAAATGGCCCATGCCATAAAAGGAAATATTGCACCTCTCCTGAAAACAGAGATAACTCCAGCAGCTGCACTGCCATGCTGTGAACGGAGCCAGTCTGGGCATCCAAGAGCATTTGCATATGGTTTGATGAACCAATAGAGTTTTAGGACATTTCCCAATTTGTTTCCCTTTCATGCTCTGTTTGCGTCATTATCCCACACCAACATCTAGGTGTTCATACAGCACTAAAACCATAGTTTATATTCCAACTTTAGTTGTGGAAGAATATCCTTACAAGATCCCAAAGACACACACACACATATATATATATATACCAGAGGAATTTTAGGTTGAAAATTTCCGAGTTATGGACGAATGTTCAGGGGCACTCCTGTGACAACCGCAAAGTGAGCAAAAGCAGTTCGAGTGCGGGAGTAGCGGAGGGTAACAGAATTCGCGAGCGCGTGAATTCACGGGTGAAAACATTTTTCGGGTGCGAACCCTGTGTTTCTGGGGTCGCCGAAGTAGGGTTTCTGTTTCTGCGGTTGACGCTTGAAAAATTTTGAGCGCCGCGAAAACCGTGAAAACCGTGGAAATTCGCACCGAGGAGCGTGAAAATCACGAAAAACGTGAGAATTCACACCCTGGAGCTTGGAAGACCACGAAAAACGTGAAAATTCACACCCTGGAGCGTGAAAAACGTGAAAACGTGAAAATTCACACCCTGGAGCGTGAAAAACGTGAAAACGTGAAAATTCACACCCTGGAGCGTGAAAAACGTGAAAACGTGAAAATTCACACCCTGGAGCGTGAAAAACGTGAAAACGTGAAAATTCACATCCTGGAGCGTGAAAAACATGAAAACGTGAAAATTCACATCCTGGAGGATGAAAAAACGTGAAAATTCACATCTGCAAGCGTGAAAACACCATATGGCTTCGAAAAAGTGATTTGGACTCCGAAATGCAAAAACGAGGTCCTGGGCGGTATGGCTTCGGTTTTCGAAGCCGAATGGTTCCCTAGGAAAGCCGCGAAAACGCGAAAACCGTAAAAACAGGAAAACGCCGAGGAGACTAGCGCTATTGGCCGCATTTCTCGGTTTTCTCGTTTTCTCGGTTTTCTCGGTTTTCTCGGTTTTCTGGTTTTCTGGTTTTCTCGGTTTTCTCGGTTTTCTCGGTTTTCTGGTTTTCTCGTTTCCTTGCATCTCATCGTTCTGGCCACGTCGCGTGGATTTCTTGCTTAGAAATCAAACAGGTCATCTCGAAATCTACACTCATTATCGGTGATCATTCCATCAGCCTGGGGTGACTTGCGTGGCTGATATTTCGGGCCAGAACTGTAGAAACCAACAAAAATCCTACAGAACTGTGTTTTCTGGAAATATGCGGTACATCGGAGGTCCCATCACCCAGCGCTGACAGGCGATCTTGTGGGCGCTGAAGACTCAGTGCAACATCCCGCAATGCTTCGCTTTCCTACAGGTTCCCTGCTCATGGATATGTACAATGTGGGGTCCCCTAGATAGCTAAGTTGGTTTATAACCTGGTTAACTATGGTTTATGATGGATGATATAACTATAGTTGATGGGCTTTATTTCCACCAATTGATAACTACGGGGCCCCCACACTGTAGAATCTGATGTCTCCAAATGTCTCCGACATATTGGATAGTATATATAATGCCAACCAAAAAGTCATGACCTTAATCGGTTTATTGAAACAAATCTGTGGGCCGATCACCGGTTTTGCGGGTGAAGGCCTCCTATGTTTCTCCATAGCTGGTTGAAAATCGTTCCTAATGAAATCCATATGTTTTTCCCTGGTGGAATCCCATCTCTCCTGGTTGAACCTGGTGAAATCCCAATTGTGTTCCCGGGTACAGCCCGATATATCTCAATTATCCAAATCCCGATTGTTCCTGAAGTCGGCATTTTCTTGGTTGACTCCCAATTCGTTCCAAGTTCAATATTCAATTAATTTTAATTTTAATTACCCTCTGGTGAACTAACATAGCAATGGAAAATGGCTATTTATAGTGGATTTTCCCATTAAGAATGGTGATTTTCCATTGCTATGTTAGTTCACCAGAGGGTACATGGTTTTTCCAATCTTCTATTGAAATATGCACCGGTTTTGACGGAAACAAATCCACATCTTTCCCGAGTTCCATGGCACCTGACAGCGTCGCTAACGAGCCCCGGCACCATGAGCCGCGCATCCTGAGGCGATCATTGTTTCGGAACTGGGATATGTTACCACCAATAGACCAATATGAAACCCGGCAGTGTTGGGGGATCAAGCTGCGATTTGAGGATTGTTTGTTTGTTCATAATGGGATAGAATCAGCTATGGATTTAGGTCCTGGGGATAGAGGACTGGCGGGATTTTATGAAAATAGGGGTTGAAGCCATGAATGGGGGGAGATTACATGGATATTAAGCAGCCATATGAATGGACGGAATAGAATAGATTTGAGGGATTTACCAGCAATCCGTGCTTGACAATAGGGATATTAAATGAGATATTTTAATAACATTTTATAACAAGCTTTACATGATTTCTGTTGGGTGTCTGAACATGGGATGTAACAGGTGTGTCTGACAAGTTGGATATACCACCAATTTATGGCCATGAAATTCATGAAATCATGTTCAAGCATCAACATCATCCAATAAATTTCACTGGAATTGGGGTTGCCCTATTTTCAGATAAAACATGATAAAACCATATCATATCATATGGAGGTTTCCTGAACTGGGGGTACCCCCGGGCACCCATGGTATTTTTCAGATCCGTCCCAAGGTGGACCAGGAAATCGCTACACGTGCGCTAGATAGAAGGTCGAACCGTCTGAAAAAAAGCTCTATTAGTGTTTTTTTTTTGTGAATTGTTCATTAAATTTCATTAAAACTAGTGCTTAACCAGCGAAAATAAGAATTGAAGAACCACTATTGAAATTTATGTGACTAATGATAGATAGGTTAGGTTTTCAACTCAGCTAACTGTTTTTTTTCTGATGAATACCTCTACATTTGGATGGGTGAAACGGGGTCCGGGGTCATACATTTGGGGTCCTGCTGTGAAGCTGAGATGGATCAAAACCTCTCCATAAATCCCAGCAAATTTTTGGTGTGAACTACAGGGGATTCCCTCCTTGTTTTGACCATAACCATATCCCAATAATCAGATTATTATAATGATAATTACTATAATGATTACTACAATGATTAACATAGTAATCCCAATATCTCAAATTTCAAAGAATCATCAGATAATCAGATAATCCTGTCATCCACCGGTTTTTTTCCAGCGTCTTCTTATGTCATCATCATGCAACATGCCTTCCCGTATTCCAATAGTACTCCCCAAAGATATCAGACTTTCCCAGAAATATGGGTTGTCCCATATCTTCTCCCCAAATCTCGATCTCCCACCAAGGGTTCTCCTCGGCAGAAGCAGCGCTGATGAACCTCCCGGGGCTTTTTTAGGTGAGGTCCCGGTGTCCCCCTTGTAGGTTGCCATGGTGATATAAAATGAGAGGGAGATATAAGTGGATATAATATGTGACGTGATATAGGATATATATATATATATTAAGTTATTATGTATGTGTGAATATATGTATATATATAGAATATGTATAAATATATGTGACATACTATGTATGCATATAATATGTATATGTAGGATACAAAACCCACGATATGATATGATACATGGGATGGGATGTGTGTGTGATATGATAGGGATAAATCATATGGGACATTAAAATGGGGAACAATGAAACGGAGACATGATACAGAATTTATATATTATATAACCATATAATGGGAATCTGGTACAATGGGAGATATGATAGGGAGATCGTGCAACTATCATTAGAACGATAAGGATATATAATCGGGATATTGTCTGTTATGGGACATACTATATATCATATCAAAATATAACCAACAATATGATAGTTGGGTGTCAAATTAAGATTTCACCATCAAATATAATGATTTATCTATCAAAAAAATGGTGTTTCAGTGTTTCTTTCTGGGACATAATGCGTTACATACATGGACATCGCAAGATAAACAGATAAACATTATCAACAACATCCTGGACAGCATCCTTTCTTTCACTGTAGTTTCCCCGAATGGGTGGAGTATCCAATAGCAAAGTAACACATCACCTTCAACAAATCCAGGACTTGGGGAATTCAACCTGGCATTGAACATCTCCTATACTTAAAGATAGCTCAAGGATCGAGCAACGTATAACTGCTTGGTGGTTGAGCTCTACCCCTAGTTGGGATTATTTAATTCCCAATATATGGAAAAATAAATGTTCCAAACCACCAACCAGTATAGGAATGGGTGACATTTTGCAATGCGTTGCCATCAAAGAGTTCTCAAAGGATCACAACTTCACAATTTCACATGTGTGTTGGTGACCCCCGAAAATCCATGAAACTGTTTGGGCAATTACCTTGAAACAGCCGCAGCTAGATTTCCGAAATTTGGCTGAATTTTTTCCGGGGTTTGGGTGGAGCCCGATCCTTAAACAATATACCCCCTGGCTATGACTAACAGTTCGCCATGGTATAGATGGCCCATAGAAATAGATGGTTTACCTATTAAAAATGTTGATTTTCCATGGCTATGTTAAATAACCAGATGGTATATATATACATATATATATATCATACCATATGCTTATTCAGCACATTCGAACACAATGAAATAATCATGCAAGGTGGACATGGATTCAAACTTAGCAACCCACTAAATGAAATCAGTCTCCAACGATTTCTAGGACACCCAGAGACAGTTTTCGTGAAAACTCCTCAGTATTTGTGCTCCAGCGTGCCTTTTTGTTTGCTAGTTACACTTAGTTGTGCACTATTGCGCACTTCGTTTGGCACGCTGAGGGCTTATTTTTCAAGTCGTTTTTTCTTGCTTCCCTACTTTGATTGGCATTTTCGGCTGCTCCCCGTTTTTCCCTGTCAAATCTCACAATTTCTCGGTCAAACCCTCACTCCTTACTTTCCTCACCATTTTCAAAGGTCAATGAAACGGGTATGTCTCAAAGTTGGGTACCCCAAGCCCCCTGGTTCCCCATCATATTATATATTCCCCATTTCTATATTGGTGGGAACCCATCCTTTTTTGATACCATGAATGCTGTATAGATTTCCGGAGGAGTTGTAAAACAGCGGGATTTGTCGTCTTGATCCCTCCGGCTTAAAACCCCACTACAGTTGCACAAGGATCTTCTATTCATCATGCTCTTCTTGATCGATCATACAATGGATACTTCTTCAGCTTCGGAACTTGGCAGTTCTGGGGCACTCCTGCTTTTTCCCTTCAGAACTGCCAAGGATGTGTTGTACTACGCACTTGTGGGATGAAGAGCTGAGATACATATGCTGATCCTCTGATCCTCCGAGGCTTGAAGTTCAAGATGATGCAAAATAACCTGCTCTTGGCCTCTTGGTGGTCACTGTTCACCACAAAAAACAGTTGTGCTATGGTCCATGGCCTGGAAACCTTCCTGGAAGACCCATACCCATGGCGCCGATCAACCGACCTCCTGGGAGGCTGCGACGTGGCGGCAACCTGCATCAAATCATGGGAGGCGGGTTTTTTCTGGGGGGGTTCCACACAGCACAGATTTAAACTGTGGATACTATCTGTGGATACTATCTGGGGGGTTCCATGGGATTTTATGGTGGTTTAGTGGGATCTAATGGGATTTAATAGGATTTACCATCTGGTTATGACTAACATAGCCATGGAAAGATCCACCATTTTTTTAATCGGTCAAGCCAGGTAAAGCATCTATTTCTATGGGCCATTTTCCATAGCTATGTTAAATAACCAGAGGGTATTCATATGGTTCCTATTGATCTGGTTTGTAGGATTTGAATAAGGACCCCTATTTTCATGGAACTGATCACTGGGATATGTACAAGCATCAACGATGTCATATAGCTACAGCCACATTGGGTTCTCGGCAACTGAGCTTGGTTTTGGATGAAGCACTCCTGATGAGTTCGAGCTCTTAAATCACCAACAACCATAGGTGCAATAAACTGGTGAACATGGGATTTCACGATTGACTATCAAACTTGGGATTTGACTGGGGATCAAACAAGGGCGTGATCATCAGCAACTGCTGTGTCTAACCACCAAGAGTGTGCAAAAAAAGGCGTGGGTCAAAAGCACAGTTGTTATCAATGTTTACATACTATCGTCTATCACCACACTTGGGGGAAACCCAGTTATTTGATTCATGCCCACTTCAGTCAGTACAGTATCTCATCCTGTCCATTTGGGTCAAGAAGCATGAACATGGGGACATCAGGAATATGAAACCAAATGAAACAGCACTAGCACACATTGTGGGTGAAGAAAACCGACAGCTAATCAGCTAGATCATGATGTGGGGATGGATCAAAACCAAACGCCACCAAAATGATGGCATTTCACATCGCCCACAGTCTATTCGATTCATATTTTTGATGTAGAAAGCATGCTGCATACGCAAACAAATGATGGCGAATCTGAAATCTCCATCATCGATTAAAATTCACATACATAGGGAGTATTCATGGGTATCCGACATTTGGGACAAACGCAAATCTCATCTGGGCAGATATAAATATTTCCAATACCCTCTAGTAAACTAACAGTTTGCTATTGAAAATTGCCATAGACATAGTGGATTTACCCATCAAAAATGGTGATTTTCCATAGCTATGTTGGTTTACCACAGGGTAATATTTTTGGGTTGTAATTGGATCCACAAGCACCATTGAAAATTGAGAATTTCCCTCCAAGTTGATCCTTCATAGACCCGTCCTGCTTTAGGATCATATCCTGCATAAACCTATAGCACACCCCAAAGAAAAGAGGATCAAAATACCTTGGAAACCCGGAAAA